CACTGTGGTGATGCCGTGTGTTGACACTGTGGTGATGCCTTGTGTTGACACTGTGGTGATGCCTTGTGTTGACACTGTGGTGATGCCGTGTGTTGACACTGTTGTGATGCCTTGTGTTGACACTGTGGTGATGCCTCGTGTTGAGACTGTGGTGATGCCTTGTGTTGACACTGTGGTGATGCCTTGTGTTGACACTGTGGTGATGCCTTGTTTTGACACTGTGGTGATGCCTTATGTTGACACTGAGTGATGATGCCGTATGTATGTTGTTTGTGTTGACAGAGTATGTTGATATCGTGTGTTGACGACGTACATTGATGTTGGAGCCGTGTGTTGATGCCTTGAGTTGACACTGTGGTGATGCCTTATGTTGACACTGAGTGATGATGCCTATGTATGTTGTTCGTATATGTTGACAGTGTATGCTGGTGGCGTGTGCTGACGACATATGTTGATATCGTGTGTTGACGACGTATATTGATGTTGGAGCCGTGTGGTGATGCCGTGTGTTGACACTGAGTGATGATGCCGTATGTCTGTTGTTTGTGTTGACAGAGTACATGTATCTTGATGTCGTGTGTTGACGACGTACATGGATATTGGAGCCTTGTGGTGATGCCTTGTGTTGACACTGTGGTGATGCCTTATGTTCACATTGTGTGATGATGCCGTATGTATGTTGTTTGTGTTGACAGAGTATGTTGATATCGTGTGTTGACGACGTATATTGATGTTGGAGCCGTGTGGTGATGCCTTGTGTTGACACTGTGGTGATGCATTATGTTGACACTGAGTGATGATGCCTATGTATGTTGTTAGTATCTGTTGACAGTGTATGCTGGTGGCGTGTGCTGACGACGTATGTTGATATCGTGTGTTGACGTACATGGATGTTGACACTGTGGTGATGCCTTATGTCGACACTGTGTAATGATGCCGATTGTATGTTGTATGCATTGGCAGTGTGTGTTGATGGCGTGTGTTGACGTGTCTTGCCATCCAATGATGAATATGCCTGTTGGTAGTATATGTTGACGCTAGGTGCTGGTGCCGTTTGTTGACGTGTTTTCACAACTTATGTTGCAGAACTTGTAGACGGCGTATGTTGATATCCTAATATGCTTGATTACTTGTTTTGACAGTGTACGTTGGCGCCAGGTATTGATGCGGTTTGTTGATATATGCTGACAAGGTTCACTCCCAAAACTTCTACATGCCAAAACTTCTACATGCCAAAACATCTACAGAGAGTTGTCATGGCTGATTGAGTTTACCTATTGTTATAATGGTATAGTCCTCCTGTAATTAAGAAGAAGACATGTAGAAGTTTTGGGAGGACACCGCTAACAAGGGATACATCGGTGTTGCTACAATATATTAATGTCGATAATATAACACTTAAATTTGTACATGTCTGCAACGAAGTATTGCTCACCACCGTCATGGGTGAGTGAGAGGGTTTCACGTCGCCTTCAAAAGTAGTTCAGTCGTACCTCGTCGTGTCAGCTTAATGTAGGAGGAAAATCCGAGGCGCAGGTCGTACTCGTTTAGCGCTTCATAGTCGACACCTACGAGTACGTGTGTAGCGCTTACCAGCACATGGTCATAACCAGGGTGACTCTGATAATTGATTTTGTTTGTTTGTTTGTTCTTTAACGCCACACTCAATATTCCAGCTGTATGACGGCGGCCTGTAAATAATCGAGTCTGGACCAGACTATCCAAAAATCGGTATTGTGAGCAACAATCCACCCCGTCGGGGAGCGATGACACGCAACCAACCAAGTCACCGATCTATTTCGTCAAGCACGGGCTGCTCAGGACATATTCTAGCGGGCGAAGTGTTTTGTGGTTGATGGAAATATTTGAATATGCTAAGACACGTCAACACAAGCATTAACCCATCTTAATAAAGATCGATGTCTGAGCATTGAGGTTAGTTCCTCAATAACAAAGGACGAAATGCAACATTTTATGCTTTATTCATACACAAAAACAAGGCGTCTCAAAACGGATAATACGCATTTACATATACATTTATTCTCAAATGAGATCAATGATGATGGGAAAATAGCATGACTTGATAACACATAGCACACGATATAAGGAAAATTGACATAGCAGCTGTGTGCATTAAACAATTCGTAATTGCCTGGATGGTTCAGCCTGTCGCCCACTTGCTGACCTGTCGAGTGTTATGAAGGGTATGGTCATGAATATGATTGGAGGTCTCATAAACAAATTACGCTCTCTTTAGAAAGTGAGGTGAGGTTGAATGGCAATTAATGTCGTGTTCTAGATTATTTCACCTATCAATTTTAACGAGTGAGTGAGTTGGGTTTAACGCCGCTTTTAACAGTATTCAAGTTATATCACGGCGTGTCGGCTTAATGAAGGAGGAAAGCCCGAAGTGATGCAGACGTTTTTCACTTCTGTCAAACCCTCGAGCACGGGTATGGTGCTGATAAACCTGGAAACATAATCGGGGCGAACCGTGATTCCAACCCACAATCATAGACTTCTGACATGCCATAGGGACGCATCTCTGCACAGCGAATCGCGGCGCCTTAGACGACTGGGCCATCCGTGCCCCCGCAATTTTAATGGTATGGACATATTATACACTATTGAGAAAGGTCATAAAGAAATTACATAATTATGAGATGCGTTGTGAACAAGGACACATTGTATATGCTAAAAATGTGTACAATGATTTATGTTATTTTCAGGAAACTATAAATGACACTTCTACGACATGAAACGAATATAAATTGCGTGAGGGTTGCAAAAGAATTACCTACGTGGGGATGGATGAAATCTCTACCATATCCATTACTTTCTATGTTGTGGAATGTACAATTGTATTTCCGAATTTGGTGACGTCGTTAACGCTTAACGTCATTCAAAATATCCGATTTACAGGTGCGATTCCTTGCTTGTTTGCCCTTGACGCAACACTGGTACATTAGGCATGGTACGTGTGAACTGTGGTGAAAAACTTGGCTAAGGAAGTTAGGAAAGGAGCTATCGCTGATACGAAACGAAACGATAATCACAGACTAAAGTTCAAATGGTCAACGACAAGCGGAATAATTCCAATATGACTCAATTCTTTTGTTGCTTACGACAATGATGACGTCACATTTTATAATTGTGGCGCTATATGAACACTGTTGGTATCTAGGCCCAGTTCTAGACCTCTCTAACAGAATACAAAGCTTCGTGTCGAGAGCTATTCATGTAGATCATGATAGTTTTGTGTATTAATATACAACCAAACATGCTGCAAAATGTCGGGATAAGTTTGTTTCCAGAATGAGGCCATTTTGCCTCGATTCGCACTCTACGAACTAAAAGTTGTTAATCACACGATTGATGGGTCGAAAACCAGTTGAATAAGTAGCGAAGCTCATCATAGCTGGACAGATGCCCCAAAAGGGGGGTTTCCAAAGGCTTCAGCATTTACATAGATTTCTAAAATACAGACGAACACTGTTTGATGTGTCAAACTTACGGTTGTCTCGAAGTTAAAGCATGGATCCTGCTTATTCCTTTTTTATTCGTCATGCTCGGTTGTGTCGAACCTCGGATATCTCGAAGCATTAACGTGGGTCCTTTCAACTTCGACACAACAGTGTTTGACTGTACTGTCTCACATGATCAAACATGTCCTGAACTGAGTAATACAATGATAAAGTACAATATGAGCTATTCAAATATATTATGCAATAAACGTGCCTATTTGAGTTATTGAGTTATTTGGGCTTTAATCCGCCGTGAACGGCACTTCAGTTACATCTCGATGTGACAGCTCAATTTGAGAGGAAAGTCCAACTTGTTTGTTTCCTCTTTGGTGGAACACACAAGCAAGGGTTGACAGACTGAATACGGATCATATTAATCTCGGTGAATATAGTACTCGGACCAACCACCAGGGCATCCTCAATGGGCCTGAAGACGCGGATGTATACAGCGACTTGAGCCACCGCAAACGACTGAGCCACCCGTGTCCCATTCTGCGCACCGCACTATTATCAATAAATTGAAATAAATAGCATAAAATAAAAGCGACCAAAACATTTCCATAATCATGAGAAGTACCTGCTAAAAGATTATTGTACGATTCAGACTACACCATAATCTTGTGTTTATGAATCACTATCAATTGGTGGTAACAGCAGGTGTTCGCGAAAAGGTCAAAAACACATTCAAAGGCAAACAACATGGAACATATTGCTATAAGTCGAAATATGGATTTGAATCGGACACAGTTTTGGTCAATGATGCGTCAAATATGTAAATATACCATAAACTTTTTTATAAAGCCTTACTAAGGCCTTGCTTTTAGTTATCGTAATGAAACAACTTTTGAGCAAGAGTAGTATGACGCTCTTAGAAAGAGCATGATCAAAAGTCGTGAAATGTAGACACCAAAGGCGGGAGCTGCTGGAATATTGCTCGATAAAAAGGGAAAATGTAATTATCCTCTTTGGCATACATTCTTGTAGATAATTTATTGTCACTCTAAATTTCCATGCATAGATCTAAATATGAAACAGATAAGGCGGTTTCACGGGTCTCTTCGATTTCTTATTCAGATAGGTAAACCCGAGGAATTGAATCGGCTATTTGACCATTTTTTAACGATATCAGATCATCAAGGTTCCTGAAGTTTTGATTTTGCACAATTCGAGCAAATAAAGCAAATGTTTATGTCATAAAACAGCACTAAAGGCACCATTTGTGTTACTGTTTTACAACTACCCAATGTAATATGATAAGGTATACCTCTGAAACTCACAAATATCTCCCATAAGGACGATCAAGTACCTGCGCTTTTGCTTATTAACGACGACAAACTATAGCTAGTATCCAATATCGTCACTTGGTTGATGCAGTTGTGTCTATTTGGAATGGAATGATGTCATCAGGAAATAGTTTAATATGAGTTTACGTATCGACAGCATCAAATTTGCAGCCCAAGCATGTGCATGTTTCAAGTCAGTAAAAACGACTTTGTTTTGCTGACTACACGATGTGTGCAGTTAATCACCGCTTACTATATATCTCCATATAAAATAGCATTTAAAAACTCATATCCTGTATTCCATTTCTGAGGAAACACACCTGTGTGATAAAATTCTGATTTGGAATGTCATTTTTATATATTCTGAAGATAAGATATAATGATAAATATTGTTACTATTTTATCAAGTTAATGCATTGTTGTTCTTTGGTTCCATCCATAAAAATGTTGTTATATTTTAGTGCATAATGAGATGGTGCAGTGACGATTATAACGTGCAACAACAAATCCATTTAAATGTACGTACAGTATGTAAGAACATGTTCGCAATCGGTTTTTTTAGTGGCGTGTATAGGCCCATATAAGAAATTGGTCATTCCCGTATTAGTCAGCTTCATCACGGCGGTCTGTGAATAATACAGTCTTACCCGACCAATCCAGTGGTTGATAACTTGAGCAACGATCCGTAATGTCTCGGCCAATCAGACACTCTTTGTAACCACCCGATACTCATTTGTCAATAAGCATTTGCTACTTCTTTACTCCTCTGGTATCCCAGTGGGGACCGCCATTAAACATGCGTTGATAATCATTGATTTTTGACTTGATAAAAGGGTTCAAACCTTAAAATATGAGTTTTTCACCAATTGTAAAGCTGAAGTCAATAATTTCTCGAAAGTGTGTTAACTAAACCAATGTATCTGTGTGTACACTAAATGCGTCATCAGCAACAAATGGTTTGCGTTATGAAAATAAAATATTAGTCATTTTACAACTTTTCTGGTCCTGTATTCCATGTGACGTTATCAGAAATAATAGGCAAATAAAGTTATACAACTCTAAACCTGTAAAAATGAAGCTGCAGCGCCTTAACAACTTGGGCATCCCTGCTGCTCACTGAGGTTCTACTCTTATGCATTTTTCAGAAATGGCATTGTCGTATATGGCATCATCTCACTGGAGTATTTACACCAGAGAACATCACGATGGTGTCACAAGGTTGCCTTTCTCCTGATTTTAGAACCTCGTCTGGGAAAATGTTCAATGTTAACTGATAGTGAAGGAATCACATTCCACTATGGTCCTCCAACAGTATTGTAAGCTATGTACACACGATTAAGGACTGGTATTTTGTCCTTGGTCTTGGTAAATTCTTGTAGCAATCATTGAAATATTGGCAATTTCGTTACAAATAGTGAAACATCTCAAAAGCAAACAACCTATATTGATTTTGCTATTTCAATTTCCTTCCATGTGTCTGTTGGTCACTCTGGTGCGGTGATTGAAGGACTCGTTAAATTCCTTAATCACAACGGGATTCCTCAAACCGTTTGGATACAGTTTGGAACGATATATCAGTAGCGTTGAAGACAACAATTTAGATGCTGACATGTTTTTCAGTATTTGGTTTCTCTCAAAATATTATTAAATGTTTCCAAGTTTATAGCAAACTGACAATGTTGTTTTATCCTGCTAGGCCTTTAGCAGTTCCAGAAATATCATTGTGGACAGTAAGATTTTCTCCATGACCTATGGTAACACTGTTTCGATTACTTCAGATGCAACTCCACCTTTCCATTAGAAATGTCACATTTGGGAATAAGTTCTGTCGTCTCCTCCTTTATTGTGTCTTTCTCGTCGATTCGCGGAGGTGATCCATTGAATTTGAACGGACAAAAATTTTCAATTTCATCAGGCGTTATGGAAGTGTCCCTTTTAACACTGGTCGATCTACTTGAGCATGCAATACTTGACCGTGTGATACTCGGCATACCTCGACCTCTTTTTCGATCTCGGCGGTCATTCCTCAACAGAACGCCATCTGTTTCAGAGCACCCTGGGTAAATCTTAAAAGCTCGGTATCCACACCATCGGAATCTAGCTTTCACTTCCTCTCTGAAATTCTCGTTCAGCCAACAGTAGACGAAAGGGTTATAACACGTGCTGCTGATGGCGATCCAGTGGCAGATGAAGAAGGCTCTACTGTCATGGTGGAATACCTCAGCATTGGGATGAAAGTCTGTCAGAAGATGGTACAGAATAAGTGGCAGCCAACATAAGGCAAACACAATCACAACTGCGATCAAAAGCTTAATACTTCTTCTTTTCGCACGTTGCTGAGATTGGTGCTGATTTTCGGTTACAGCCCCGACATGGGTTCTTGCCCATAGTTTACGAACTATACGTCCATACGCAAAGGCGATGAAGGTCAACGGGATGCAGTATTGCATGATGATGGTAACCACAGTAAGATACTGTTCAAATGAATCTAGTGATTCAGGAAATGATGATCGACATCGTCGAAGCTTTGATGTGAAAAGATTGACCTCCTGCACACTTGTGTAGATGCCATATGGTAAAGAGAGGCAGATGGCCAATACCCATATGAACACAAGAACCGTTATTGCCAATTGCTTGGACATACGAATTGTTAGAGGAGTCAGAATCACTCGATGCCTGTCAATGGCGATCGCTGTCAGGGTATAGGTTGACACATACACAGAGACCATTAACGAGAAGTTCACAAGGTGACACAGAAAATCTCCTAATGGCCATTCATCCAATATGTGTCTGAGAATATTGAATGGGACATTAATGCAGGTAATAAGAAGGTCCGAGATTGCTAGGTTTGCAATGAAGAAGTTGGTAGCTGTGTGAAGTCGTTTGTTCTTCAGAATCACATAACAAACAAGAGAGTTCCCGAAGAAGGAGATAAGACTTAAGATGCTGTATGCGATGATGATTATTATATTCTCTACTGTCTGGTCACGTTTGAAGGATTGGGACTTGAAAGAGCTCCCATTGGACTGGTTTGATAGCCATAGGGAAATGTCGGTCTGAGTTACATTCTTGTCATCAAGTCCCAAGAGATACCACACGTCGTCGTACGCCATTGCTTCACAGGAAACTCTGAAACACATAAACATAGTGATTCTTGAAACATTGCTTCAAGAGATAATATCAAACGTTTACAGCATAGGATTTCTAAACAATGCATGGTAACTTTTAAAGAACCAGTCATATGATTAAGACATAAGATTGTGTCATAGATTATTATTAGATATCTTCATTAACAACAAATCCCTCACATTATCAATTCAATATTTTTATAGCTTTCATATTTAAAGTGTTACCTACATTTACATGAGTGTAAACCATGAGTATATTAGAAAACAAGTCATATAATTAAAAAATAAGCTTTCTTCTGATTGAATGGAAACTGTTTCCCCGGATAATATAAGGGACTCACTATTCTCTGGTGTTGACGTTTCAAGTTCATAGATAATGTTGACATATCTTCATTAACACAAAATTCCTTACATTATCAATGTAAATCATGAGTATATCAAAACATACTTGAGGAACAAAGAAGAGAAAACAGCAATGATTAACAATTTTCACTTGAGTTAGCGACAAAACAGTCCATTTCAGAATTAAGACTTTATCACAAGTATGTGTTTCGTGAATTACTATCAGATCATGATGATAGCATTTGTTCGTGAAAAGTCGAGCCTATCCTGAACGACTGGAGGGACTTGTCACAAACACATGTGAAGCCATGTAAAATGTTCACCTGAACAAATAGGGAATCGTGGTGCAAGTCAAAGTATCGAATTGCATCGGACATCTTTTTGGTCACGGATTTATTAAATTGGAAATGTCCTCCACATGTCTACCATAAAACGTTTCGAATGCTTCACTATGGCCTTGAACGTTGCAAACCTGTTCTTACAACTTTTGGGCAAGAGCCGTATGAGGCTTTTTGAAATCTTATGTTTCCTCCGTGAATAATGCCAAATTAAAAAGAGTTTTACTATAGTATGGTAGAATAAACTATTCTTCAACGAATGATACATGTCAATATTTTCGGACTGATATTCATATTCTTCTGGATTTTTTTTGTTCATGTGATTTAACAAACTTTTTGCATGATTGCGCAGTTTCTTAATCATTCTATGACACTGACATGAATAGAAGCCTAAAACGGACTTCGGTAATCGAGGTAAAAATATGCAACTCAATGGACGTTAAAGGAACACGATTCTTTCATATCACTCGAGTCAATCTGTCATGGCATGGCTACAGTAATATGAAACAATTGAGTGTTCTTTAACCTCTTCTAAGTACTAAATACGACAAATATTAAAGGGACACCAATTTGCCTATACGAAAACCTTAATCGTCTGACATCCAAATGCCTCTGGCGTTAAGTGATATGAGACAGCAAAAATATAATTATGTTCCTTATGAAGTTGGAATTAACTGTACATGATTGTTCAGTAGTCGGAATAGCACACAGCTTGTATGTACGATACAGTCTCACTTCAACTTTTAACGCATCTAAGAGACTTACTGAAGCCATCGTGAACGTGCAACTACAGAAAACCCTTCAAACCGTCAGCCGCGGCAGCATCAATAAATGAGTTGGCACCTCATCTCAAAATCTTTATTTCCACACTCAGCAGGTCCTCCTATAACCTACAATCAAAATGCTCTAAAAGCAAAGCCAGACCATTCTAACGCATCGTCGGTTTATCCGTTTTCGCATTCATCAGTTTGGGTAGTCTTTACGTGAGAGCCAAAACGAGGTAAAACTCAAGATTTTTGTTTTTGTTTGTTTGTTTGTTGTTTAACGCCGCACTCAGCAATATTCCAGCTATATGACCAGACAATCCAGTGATTAATATCATGAGCAACGATCTACGCGATTGGGATCGATGACATGCATCAACCAAGTCAGCGAGCCTGACCACCCGATCCTGTTAGTCGCCTTTTACGACAAGCATAGTCGCCTTTGACGGCAAGCGTGGGTTGCTGAAGACCTATTCTACCCCGGACTCTTCACAGGTCTATTGTAAGAAGTAACATTTGTATACATAGTAAAACTAAAGACATATGGGATGTTAAAAAGGAAATTGTGTTAACTTCTGTGATAATTCTACTGTTGTCGCTCTAGTAAAAACATTTCGGAAGTGGAAGCTTTTGAAGTGTGAATGAACGCTATTAATACCTTTGCTGTTTTTATGGGGAGGTTTGGTGGATCATTCTATTTATCATTTTTAATTTTTTATTTAATAATTTCTTTTTGGGGGGAGGGGGGGGTGATGGGTTAGGGGATGCCATTTAGTTTATGGCCTGATGAGACTCTTACGTGGCACGATTTGAAAGCGCTAGCGAATTAAACTGTGTTCAATCTTACTTAACTAATATAATTTTAATTATCACCATACTGTGCCTGAGAGTTGGAACTTTACTGCTCTCTCTCTCTCTCTCTCTCTCTCTCTCTCTCTCTCTCTCTCTCTCTCTCTCTCTCTCTCTCTTTCACTCTCTCTCTCTCTCTCTCTCTCTAGCGGGCCTTGCCAGTAGGACCAGTTGATCTATTCCAAGATTAGACTATCCGTAATTGTCTCGCACTGTAACGAGCTAAAAGGACGTTCAGTGTAGCAACTACAACGCCACCACACAACTGAAGTAGTGCTAAATCCACGCTAAATCAATCACTCTCTCATTTGTCGGCCTGAGCCAAATCTTTCGAAACCTCAGTACATACAGCTGTGTTCAATGCCTAACTGTTAAAATGTTAATGTTCTTTGAGCATAGATATTTGTGTAGCCTTTTACTCTTGTATGTTCGTAGCTTTTCCTGAGATACGGGCACCATTATCAAGACAACTGAAAAGCAAATACACAGGCAAATTAGGAATGTTGTTCTTTTCATTGAAACTTGGTACGACACACTCGTTACAACACAGCTAAATGCGTGATCCTAACTTTATCATGAGTATATTGGTATTTGGGGACTGACCATTTATGAAACGTTGTCATGATTATAGTAAGGTGTTGTTGTTGTGGTCATTTGTGGTACTATTTGACCATTCGTTTGACCTTGAGTGAGTTGGGTTAACGCGGTTTAAATCACATTTCATTTAATACATGTACCAAACATCGAAAGGCAAATGTATTTATGGATGAGTGATACGAAGATATAAAATACAGAAGGAAGCCATTTTGGATCAATCCGAATAAATCTTACAAAGACGGAAGACATGTCGGACCCTGTGATAAGAGACACATAGTCACACAAGAAATCCATTATAGATCAGCCAACATAAAAAGACAATAAGGCATTCATTCCAGATAGGGCTAACAGAAAGTAGTATGAAAACAGAATGAAACTCAGATGTGTGATATGGAACATGACTGTATCTAAATATCCGAATTTGTCTCTCAAGACTGAAAACTAAAGGAATCTTTTCCAGACTTGTCACACATAAAAAACTAATTTAACTCAAGAGGATTCAATTCCGGACTTGTCTCAGAAAACGTAACTTAAAACGAAAGGTACGTATTCTGGGTTCATCTGACAAAACACAATAGAAATCAAAATTCAACTATCTTGCTCTGTCTCACAAAGGATACCTAACACAGGATCCACGTATCATAACATTTATTGTTACACAAAATCAATTACTAAAACATCCTATAAGCCCACTACAGTAAAAAAATCTATATTGGGGGTGGGGGGTGGGGCACACTGATTGTAACATACTGAATTTGTGAGTAAGTCAAAAGTTATAGTCACATGGACCTTTTCACATCTGTTGCGTGTGTTTTGCAAGAAATAACGAATATTCGGGAGAACTGCTTTGAAATTCCTTTTCGCGTACACCTAGTATCATATTTGTTAGTGGTTCAAAATATATATAACGCAAACTTATGAGCAGTCTCGAATTTCCAACGAAGCAGACTCCGTTGGGTGTTAATGAAAAATAGCGATGAAATAAATGCTTTAATATGGTATGGTCGGGGTCGTAAATGGACCCTGAATTCAACTGTTCTGAGTGAAAATGACACATGCTTGGCCAAAAGAATGCTTGAATCCAATACCTCGCAGCGTGACGTTGCACGTCAGTTCAACGTCTACAGGAACACTAGATGGTACTTATGGCGACCTTATCTACAGAAGGACTACGTCAGAGACCGTCCCCGCAGTGGCCCCCTCAAACACGCATCTCCGACACAGGTCCAGACAGCAACAGAGGCGATCTGCGAGGACAGTACTAGTCTTACGACGTCTACGCATCTACGGCATCCGTGCGAGGCGCCCAGCCAGAAGGCGGATCCGGACGGCAAACATCAGCGACGACGTCTCCAGTGGTGAGACTCGAATTCCTTTCACCCGATATATTGACCTGATGGCTTCGCGTAAACGGGGTTTTATTGGAAAATATATTCACCTCAAATTTTAGATACAGATATCATACAGATTGTGAAGTAGCTGTATATTTTCAGATCTAGTGACGTATGAACCTGACGCTTTCTTCACTTTTCAACTATATTTCATAGATATTGTTATATGCCAGTGGATAGAGCGTCTGACCAGAGAGCGGAAGGTCTTGCGTTCGATCCCCGACCGCTTCATTTAAAAAATCGTTAAAAGATGCGGCAATGTTAAACTGCGGCATGGTATCTCAGTGGGCTAGCGCTATAAATCGGCATTAATCCGGACTTGTACAAACAAACACACACACACACACACACACACACACACACACACACACACACACACACGTTCAACCCAATTTCACCTCATCTTACTCAGAACGCTTTGCAACAATGATTAATATGCATATGTGTCCCTATGAACAATCATTGCCGTGTTGACGTGGATTATAAACTTGAATGGTTTTATCATGATTAAACGGTTTAATCTGTGTCTGAAGTGTTGATGTGAGCCGATGCCCTGAGACATCTAGTCAAGCAGATTGATGAACGACTCCTGTATATTTGTTCCTCGGGGGAATTGGCGGGCAGACTGCATTAAACGAGCAAACTAATACAGTTTTCTTTTGTTACTGGGGTCACCATTACCAGCATGAGAGTGATTAATTTCTGGGATAGTTATAGTGCTATTAAGAAATCGATCTACTCTAGCGAACCGCAGACATTATATTCCTGGCATACCTGTCACTATCGACCATTTTTAGAAACAGGTTGCTAAAATAGGCATTCTTGACGCATTGCAACGTTTCTAATTTGGTCTGTTTCTGTGGGGTAATATGTCTCGCATTTCACTCGTTTGTTATGCAATTTCTCAAGTTATTCACTTTATTGTGAAGGCAGCAGTATGATAAAGGAGACAAAAGTTTATGGAAAACAACTTCTTTTTTGTTTTGATCCTTAAACTGTTGTCAAGCACGACTGAATAATGAACATGGTACAGAATTATATATCGTAGGTGAAGGATTAACAGTAACATCATTTATCATACATTAAATGGATTAAAAGTATCCATAAACTTTTGTCTACTTTGTCATCCTTTAACTTGTAAGAAATAACTATCAATTATAAAAATATCAGGTGTTTGCAACTGTACGGTTGCATATATACGGATGTTTTTGAGAATCTGCTGCCCAGAAATTTTGTTTATGTGAGTGGAGTGGAGTGGAGTGGAGTGGAGTGGAGTGGAGTGGAGTGGAGTGGAGTGAGTGAGTGAGGTTTTACGGCGCCTTTAGTAATATTCCAGCAATATCATGGCGGTGGACACCATAAATTGGCTTCACACATTCTGCCCAAGTGAAGAATCGAACCCGGGTCTTCAGCGTGACGAGCGAACGCTTTAACCACTAGGCTACCCCACCGCCCCGTCCTGCCGAAGACCCAGGTTCAATTATCAACATGAGTACAATGTGTGAAGCACATTTCTGATGTCCCCTGTCGTGATACTACTGGAACATTGCTAAAAGCGGCTCGCAACCATACACACCCACTCACAATATCATTTAGAGGAGGCAATTGAAAAGGTAGTCAAATGGCTATTTTCATTTAATAGTCATAAAACACATCATTAGATTTCGATTTCTGTATTTCAATATTAGAATGCCACCTGTCACACTAAAAGAAATGTGTTTCGTCAGTATATTAATACAGGATACGATTTATTTAAAAGCTATTTTTATGACATCTCGCAGTAAACCATGCCTCAAGCTGTTTTACAGGTGTACGCGGTTCACCCTCAAAGTGGTAGAACATCACCCACCCCAACATCTTCAAACTCATTAACTTCTTCAAATCTGAGCAATTCTACATCGAAGCAACAATTATCTAGCTACACGCCAACGGCAAACAACGCACAACGAAATTTAAATATCGCGAACCTGAGCCAAGACTGTAGACACAGAAAGAACACCTGCAAAACGGAACGAAGACAATTTATGAGTACCCTGTTCCAGGTTCTTATCTCACTGGCTTGTAAATGTTTTTTCTTGTCCATATGGTTGATAATTGTTAACATGTATGTAACTTCCATGTCTTTTGTCCATATGTATGTAAGAACTTTCGATTGTACATGATAAAATGGAAAGTGTGTTGTGAATCATATGTAAATATATATGTAATAAAAGTCTGTAAAACAGCTCCATACTCTTATACTCTATTCCTAGAAACGGTCTATAGCCTAATCCCCTTGTTGTTTCAAGATATGTCACACACATGAGTGATTTAGAAAATACCGTGAGTACATTCGTAGTTCAAGAGGACCATTAGATGTATGAGCACAGAAGCATTTCTCTCCATCACAGTGGGATTCGGATACATGTGAAAGTGCATCTTGCACAAGGGTTTCGTGAGGTTTTTGCGTGTGGTATTACAAACCGTAGCTTACTGTACTTGTTCTTCAGAAAAATACTTTCTTTTCAAATCACCTTTAACTTAAAATAAAAACATATTTCATGTACATGAATTAGGCAATCCCAATTAATTGCTCTTCCCTATAAAAAATATATTTTAAAGATACCAAAGAGATTTATTGAACGCAAGACATATGGGACAAACACTGTCAATAGAAACAATGATCATTCCTATATTCATTTTTTATTCTGTTTTGTTTTTTCTTCTGATATTTCAATGGAATAATACAACTTGAGGAATGATACGTATATACTCTTGACAATCATGGGGGGAAAATGCATTTTATGTTTTAAAAAAGTGACTTAAGAGTTATCAAACGATTACAAATTCCTTGGCAAATGACAAGTATGATTTTATTTTCATACTTCCTATACTGTCAAAAGTAGCGTAAAACCCGCTCACGCACCCTCTATGAAATCATACCGAGGAAACGGAGCCGATTCGAATAACTAAATATACTGACTTGGTTCAGCAGTGTAAAAACATTAACAATGCATTCATGTGGTGTCAAGACTAATCGTCCCTTTCTCAATCAGAAACCCAAATTTAGAGTAATACCAGTTGACATCTGTGGAAGTTAAATCAGGTTTTTTGTGAACCCCGGCGTCTTGTGGTCTGTTTCCTTTTGATCAACGCTTAATTAATCATTGGTTACGGATTTAATTCATATTATTCGTGGATCTTGGTGTATTTAAGATAAGGATCTTGTTTTCTGTTTTAGTGTTAGCGTGCTCTGTGCAATAGATTAAAAAGCAGAAGAAGGCAAAGCAATATCTTCCATCACCTGGAAGTTATTCTGAAATATTAAAAGTGAGTATCTCTGAACAGTTCTGGCAGGAAATAATAGCGACAAGACCATTTCAATAATAATAATAATAATAATAATAAAAATAATGACACTAATGTGATTGACAAGATTGAGGGAAAACATGGCAAATATGCAGACCTCGCTTTCGAAATGTCACGATTGCATCCCAAGTACCAAGTTGTCCTACTCCCCATTGTTCTCGGTGCCTTAGGTTTGGTACCTCCCAATCTGTTGACTGACATCGGGAGAGTACCCGAGTTTACTACCAGGAATACAGCCCTTATGACAATCTCGGTAATGCAGAAGGCTGAAGTGTTCGGGAGTCTTCACATTCTCCGAAAAGTTCTGGGTGGGTTTGACTAGGCAGCGCTTCCCGGGAGAAGTCCCATTCGCTGTCTGGGCTGTGTGTAGAGGGGGCAAGGGCCCTGAGCTGATGATGAGCCTAACCAGCCTGACTGTGCCAGGATCACCCAAACCCTCTTTGCTGCATTTTTTATTTTTATCTGTAAATAATAACCATAACATCGACACCCTCACATGAACATAATCTCAATGTCAGTGTTAATTATGTTGATAGTTCTGTACTGCTGGACGGTACAGAAATGAGTGTCAACCAAGTGAAGTGCCATATCAAGTCGACCCAGGCTCAGTTTTTCAAAGAGAGGCTTTCTGAGCGACCATTGCATCCAGTTTATGTCATGGAAAATGATAAATACAAAATTCTTTGGAATAGTATTGTACTTAATACAATAATAATAAGTCCTTCGCTTGGATGAAGTCGGCTGCCCTGAAAAGTGAAACAGAAGGCTTTCTGTTTGCTGCTCAGGGCCAGTCACTTCCCACTCGAAATCGTCAATGTGTGATTTTGCATCAACAGGTGAATATGAAATGTAGATTATGCAATGAATTTAACGAAACTGTCCTATGCATTGTCAGTGGATGCCAAGCTTTAAAACAAACACAGTATCTAAAGCGACTTGATGGAGTGGCTCGATCATTTAATTATCGTCTTCGCAATGCGTGTGTTTTTGACACAGAGGTCCATCCATGGTACGACCCAGACCCAATGGAATCATTTCTGTCCCTTTTGTGTTTGACAAGATTCAGGAAATTGCGAGGACTGTACATTCGTTTCCAACAGACTGTTTGTAATTAAATGTGTTCAAACAACCGGGACTAAGGATATTATAACAGAAATGGATATTATCATTAACATGAAACTAACTTGTTCGTTATTTTAAGAAAGTTATTCTATGTGTGAGGATAAGCAAATTAAAAATGTCATTATAACCAGGGAATTGGAACGTTCGTTCTGAAAAAAAACATTGGCATTGGCATTATGACCAGAAAGAACTGTTGTTAAATACTTAACCATCACTCGTTCCTACCACAGTTTGTAAAGAGTAATCTGTGGCTGAGTAAGTTTTTATAAATATAAATTTTAAACAAAGACGCATGTAAAATAATACCATTCCTCTTTGCTCCTGTATTGTCACGTACTATTCTTTATCACAAACAGAACATGTATTCCGACTTCAATTAAACATCATAATGCTTATTTTGTAAGTAGAGCTAATTGCATTTATGCAACGTCGTGGATGTTTCAAATGACATGGGTATGTATTTATATGATCATGCAATGAAACGAAAACGGTTCAAGACTGCATGTCCAATTTACTACTTCAACGTATTCAACAACGATTCTTCTTTCGAACACATAAATGCTGTTTTATCAGTTCAATTCCGTCATTTTGTCTGAAACATTAGAAACGATTCCATCTATTTCGCGTAAGTCTATACAGGTCATTATACACAAGTGTGTGTGTTTGCTTATGTTTGTGCATATGTATGAATGTATTGTGTATGTGTGTACATACGTATATCATATACCTGGAATATTGCTGAGTGCGGGGTTAAACGACAAACAACAAACAAATGTATGTGCGTAAGTGTGCATGTGTATCAATATAGGTGCGTATGTGTGTGCATGTATATATATATACGTATGTGTGTGTGTGGGGGGGGGGGGGGGGGGGGAGTATGTGTGCGTGTGCGTGTGTGTGTACATGAGTGTGTCTATGTATTTATGAGTGCCATAAAAACGACGGAAAATCTTTCAATAGTAGTGACGTTCAAGGTGAACTGAAGGTACTAATTTAAGCCTCGGGAAATGGTTGGGCGCCACCTTTAGGAATATTCCAGTCGTACATGACGGAAGACAACATAAATAGTGCAGTGTACTCCTGAATCGAATCCGGTCTTCGTTTAACCATTAACCGATAAACCAACGCACACGAAGAATACATTCTTATATATACTCAATTTACTTAATATGCCACGTACTCACATGTAAGCTGATGCGTTATCCTATCCTAGAAACACCGCTGACCAGAAACACGGCACAAGTCTAATTGCGACATGCAGTGGTACACATGCTCTGTCTCATGTACAACAAATACCTGTCATATGTCCATTATGACTGATCAGGCGCACTGTTCACACTGCCATTGAGGCGATGTCTTAAGCCTGCACACTGAAGTGCACTGGTGGACGTCTTAATGGCTTGAGGATGCACCGTGGAGTGTTGCCAACCGAACACCTAAAAACTGTAATAAAATGTTTTGTTTAAGAATCATTGATCGATCTATCCAGAATATTTGACGATATACATGTCAAAATAATTATATGTTAAAATTATTACTTATCTTAATGACAAATGTATATTATTTAATAATTACTTTTCATTTTAAGAAGCAATGACATTTTTCAATTTTACCACAATAGCATATGAGGGATGAAATTATTTTTCATTCACCTGGGAAAAGTTGCTTAATGTCACTTGAAATTGTAAATGGTGATAAAACATGTATGAATCAACAGTTGGTAAGAAAGATGGGAAAGGAAATATATATAATCACAATGCAAATTTCAAACCAAGAAATTAATTTCATAAATATTAATATCAAAACAATTGAACGCTTAAAAGACTAACATATCAAACAAGCAGAATTCAATCCACATATGCATTGCTGTAAACAATACCGTTCTCGGGCCTTAACGTGATAACTAACCAACACACTCGTGACTTAACAGATAAACCTTCTGGTTAAACTGCCTTTCAAAAGATGACATTTGATAGTTCACTGCCAGTTACCTCTCTGTAAATACCATTGCCACGACAAAGAAATCGGAAGACTGTCGCGATGAGTTCTGTAAGCTACAGCTTCGTAATACATGTCTGCTCAGTCTGATCATGAACTTTGATGATCCTTCATCATCGATCATTGACTGGCTGCCAGCTTATTGAAAACGATCTGGAATAACGTCTCTATCGGTACCATGGCAGCTTTGCACGAAGATTACGGAAACGTTTTGCTTGTCGACATTGAATTTCCAGGGATGTTTGAAAGGAAAGTGTTTCTGTTAAGACTCAGATCCCTCTGTAAAGGACGCTTTTGATAGAAGTATGTGGCGTTCGGTTTAAGAGCTAGTGTGGGTTAAGTGGTCAGTTATACATTTGTCTGCATCATCTTGATCTAGTAATAATATATACTATTTGTTCAAACTGGAGTCTCGTAGCGAAGTTCAGCCTTGAAACATTCAAGTCCCGAAAGAGTCAATGAATGGTATGAACTTTCACAGTTAACAGTTCCAAAAACGTTCGTTCTACCCAAAAGCGTTATTGGGGCTTACTTGTGTGTTTATACCCAGCGATCTTGAGATTAAATATCGTCGTTAAGTTCCAACGGTTGTAAATAGAACTTTGGCAGTCTTTGACAGTATTTCATTTTGTTCAATGTGAATAGTAAATTCTCCTTCGAACACATTCCGCTGTGTGAATTCATATAACTAACAGTATCAGTGTGATAAGTTCAACTTTCAACCCATTCCTCAATCCTTGATGCCGTCAAGAAAATCAACTATGTGCCATTTCATTTAAACAATTTTCAATTTTCTTAGACCACAGTTGAGTATAGATTACAAAACAGTAAAATAGTCGTACTGGTATATAGAGAAGAAGTCCACAGTGAATGAAAATGCACATAAACATCTGTTGTATTCAAACACAACCCACATGTATAGCCGAACTCCGGTACGAATGACAACGTTGAAACAACATGAACGCTGTTAGGTCCCGTGAACAAACATATTGTACCATTGTTTTGGCTGTATGTTGTTTAAGGGCCAACCATTTAATATTCGTGGGAGTGGGGGTCGGGGTGGTAGGTGGTGTAAAGTGCAGGGGTAGGTGTTCGAGACAGGATATAATTTTAGTCAGTACTTAATGCGTCAACACACGCAATCCATATCTGTAAAAGGTGGAGTTGAATACATATTTTTCAAAACACCCCATACAGGTGATGCAAATCTAAGACGTTTACCATGCATGATCAGGCCGAATCTGGATAACATATATCATCAATAATAAATAATAACAAAAACGACCATATTCATAAGAAGTCTGCCAAAGACAGAGTCGATTGTACGATTCCCTCGATATGATGAGCATGTATTCATGATTCACTATCCATTAGTGATAATGATGATGCCATGTGTTCGCGAAAAGGTGAGCGTATAAATCCTTCCCCTGGGTGGCAATAGAAGGCATACTTAGAGAATACCCTGTATGGAATTATGGATTATCCCCCGACATGGGTACAATGTGTGAAGCCCATTTCTGGTGTCACCCGCCGTGATTTTGCTGGAATATTGCTAAAAGCGGCGTAAAACCAAACTCACTCACTATGGATTATCCGCGCAGAATGAACTGAGAGGTTTTGAAAATAAATTCACTGCAATCCGTGCCCAAATGGTTAATTTTAAAATAATGATGTTTTTTCGCAATAAACAATATAAAGAGTATAAGATTGCAAGGTAATGTCGAAGAAACCACTCCATGGATACAATACATCCAACTGGAAACGAGTTTGTTCTTGGAAACTAATAATTCTGATATTGATGGATTTGTAGCCCTCCGTAGTCTTATATGTAATATTTCCTTCACGACGAAGTCTAAATTCTCGACCAATTCTATTGACAATAATCTTTCACTGCCGCCTACATATCCCATGGCGTCCCGCTGGCCAATCCTGCAACTTCCCCTAAAAAGCAAACAATCGACTCCAGACTGAGGTGGCATTTCATCAATATTGATGCTGTTGGTTTTCAATGAAGACCCATTGGAGCCAGCTACCAAATATTCGGATTTCATTCAAAGAATTAGTGGGTCATGACTTTGTTAGATTCAATTCATTAAATGTTTAAGAGATTATTGCGGAACAAAATATGGTGCCACATTTCCCAATGCCATTAATTGGTTAACATTGTCGTGTCTCTCGAGATTATTAAGACACTGAATCAGCACTTCTGAAAGCTTCCTATTTCATGTCTGTTGGAGAATAATGTGAGAAGCACTGAGGTCTAGAAAGTAATTTCAACAACATTAACCTCAAGTGAGCCATGACACAATTTACATGAGTCTTCCCATTCAACTGATTTCACATTTAAGCCCACGAGGTTGCCTTCTATGTTAATTGTCACTCGACCTAACACATTTACATATCAACAACACATTAACAAACACGGAAAACCTAAAATTGGCGTGTTAAAAAAATACAAATGCTATTTTTCACCGTTACATGCCAAATAAATATCATTACTCATAAATGCGTTTTCGTAAACCATGACAGGTTTTGCGGAAAAAATCTTTCCTTGAATTAAGTGGGAGCTATTTCGCGATCATTGCTTCTGTTGGCCCTTAACAGACATTGTCCTACATGGTCGTACATGGACTTAACCAAGCGTTCTATTTGGATATCCACACACGTTCCTTCGTTGAAACTTATCGTACGTGTACATGATAATGGATGTTCATGCGGGTATATCAAGATATACTCTCACTCTCACTCTCTCTGCAACACATCAGCGAAATAAAACCATTGCCTCAATATATGAAGCTTTAAGTTTCCACCTATAAATGTTCTCTTTGTGATCCAGTCGAGAGTGTGCTGATGTTGGCGATTGTTGACAACAGATGAATACTAATACAGGTCATACTAAATCAATTGGCATTATTAAATACGTGTAGCAATATTCCAGCTATTTGACGTCGATGTGTAGATAATCGAGTCTGGACCAGAGGATTTAGTGATCGATATTGTGAGCAACGATCCACGACGTCGGGTTACGGCAATACGCAATGAAGCAAGTTACCGAGCCTGACCACCCGATCCAGCCCATACGCCGAGCATACTGCATTGGGTTGTTGGGGACCAATTCTAACCCGAAATCCCTACGAGGTTAATTAAATTAGGTACACTTTGGTATGTAGAACTAATGGATTGGAACCAAACGTTGTGTTTGTTGGTTTTTGTTGTTAGTTTAATTAGCCCCGAATTATGAACTTGAGAAGAACCCCATTTAGACCTCACAGAAACCACTGGTCAGACGAAGCTAACACTTTAACTTTTTTCAAACGATACCCGAAAAAATGAGTGAGTGAGTGAATTGGGGTTTCAACGACGCTTTGAACAGTATTCAAGTTATATCACGGCGTGTCAGCTAAATGTGCGACGGAAGCCCGAAGCAATGAAGGTCTCAGACGTTTACTATTTTGGTGAAGCCCACGAGCACGGGTATGGTGCTGACAAAACTAGAAGCAGGGATTCGAACTCATGGCCACAGATTTCTGGCGTGTCCAAGGGACACTACTCTGCACAGCGAATTGAGACGCTTTAGACGACTTGGCCGCCGATACACGAAAAGTGGTCTAAACCTTGGGACAAAGCGTGCTGAAACCGTTGCCATGCCCATTTCATTCCTCTACTCCCGCGTGACAGATGCCATCGATTATCGACAATCATACTCATGTATCGTGTCAACATTGTTCTTAGTTGTAGCAGCGGAAGGTCTTCCAGATCATGAATCGTCGCCCAGGGTCTCTCTTTCCCTCTTGAACTCTTCTGCCCACCTCTCAACAGTGGCAAAGAAGGAGCATCATCAGGAGTGGAAACAATGTCCGCATCGATGGCTGTTTCAACTGAAGATACTTGATGGCAGTATGGAAGCTAAATGAATGTTGTCAATTTCCATCAACAGTGACTACCTAGTCATTCTAATGCCTGCATAAATATGCTGCCTGGTTGTGTATTTGATTGAACTGCAGCCCTCAGGCATGGGAAGTATTGTACTTAATACAATAATAATAAATCCTTCGATTCGATGAAGTCGGCTGACCTGAAAAGTGAAACAGAATCTTTCCGTTTGCTGCTCAGGCTTAGTCACTTCCCACTCGAAATCGTCAATGTGTGATTTTGCATCAAAATCTAAATATGAAATGTAGATGAATTTAACGAAACTGGCCAACGCATTGTCAGTGGATGCCGAACTTTGGCACAAACACAATATCTTAAGCGACATGATGGAGTGGCTCGATGCTTTCATTACCGTATTCGCCATGCTTGTGGTTTTGGCACAGAGGTCCATCCATGGTACGACCCGGAATATGTAGAGGGCGTCATGGAAAAAGATGAATACACATTCTTTGGAATAGGCCCGTAAACACCCTCAAAACTATCAGCCCAACAAACCTGATCTTGTCGTTTTTGATGAATCCAATGAAATCATTTCTGTCCCTTTTATGATTGACAAGATTAAGGAAAAGCATGTCAAATAAGCGGACCTCGCTTTCGAAATGTCACGGTTACATCCCAAATACCAAGTTGTCATAATAATAATGATAATAATAATAATAATAACAATAATAATAATAATAATAATAATAATGACAAACATTTACGAATGGAAAAAGAAAAGATGTATGTTCATTAGGCTTTTGAAACCTTAACTTAATTCAAAAGTATAATTTTCAAAACTTCCCCATATAGCTCAATGTGTATTTGTGCACTCACACTATAATGTATTCATGCCTCCCGCTATTATCACTAGCTATGACGGCATATGCTTTATGACGTCAAAAGCATAATGCTGGCTGTTGCCTAGGACTACGTTTTACTTCTCACTCTATTGTCACTGTTACATCAAAGGCATTATGGCGCCACACATACTACTGTTGTGGTCGCCTAGCACTACAATGTAAAGTTTTCATTACACCCGAAGAGCCGTTGAACGGTGAAAGATCTTGTGCGGATAAAGGACTTTTGACAAGCACGAATATCTGGACTCTGGACTCTGGCAGTCTCTTTCTCACACCATATTTTCATGTTCGAGACAGACAATCGTTTTTGTCGGCTGAGCAGTTTGTACAACACTCCCAAAACCACCACACACACACACACACACACACACACACACACACACACACACACACACACACACACACACACACACACACACACACCACCACACACCCCTTTGGAGACATGACAGTGACTGGAATAATAATGTTGATCATCCAGTGTGTTTACAATTTTGGTAATTTAATGCACCTGTAATTACTTTCCTGGAGCCTGAAAATGTTGAGGTACCACACGATGGCTGACATGAAGGGCTGTATCTTCAATATGCTTAACCCATTGTGTTAAAATATGTTCATATATTGTTGTAATGTGATCTCTGTCCAAGTACAAGAAACATAAAAACGTATGATCAATTTGATTTCTTTGAATTTAACTTCCAAAGTCATGTGTTATCTGAATCTCCCTTGGCCATGTACTCTGCAATGCTATACATTGTCTGCCACCCTTCGTCTGGCATTACAACAAGGGAGGACTGTACATTCGTTTCCACAGAATGATTGTAATTAAATGTGTTCAAACAACAGGGATTGAGGATATTATTACAGAAATGGATAACATGGAACTAACTTGTACGTTATTTTAAGAAAGTTATTCCATGTGTGAAGATTAGCTGTAAAAGCTGAGATGACTTAAATTAGTTTGTTAACTTAGAGGAGAAACTTATTTCCAAAGAGAAACTACATTGCCAATTTTATGTGAGAAAACAACTTTAAAATGGTATTATAACCAGGGAATTGGAACGTTCGTTTGGAAAAAAACATTGGCATTGGCCTTGTGACCAGAAAGAACTGTTGTTAAATACTTAACCATCACTCGTTCCTACCACAGTTTGTAAAGAGTAATCTGTGGCTGGGTATTTTTTTATAAATATAAATTTTAAACAAAGACGCATGTACAGTTGTACCATTCCTCTTTGTTTCTGTATTGTCACGTACCTTTATCACAAACGTTTAGAGTACATGTATTCCGTCGACGCCAATTAAACATCACCATAATGCTTTTTTATTTAAGTAGAGCTAATTGCATTTATGCAACGTCGAGGATGTTTCAAATGACATGGGTATGTAGTTATATGATCATGCAATGAAACGAAAACGATTCAAGACTGCATCTCCAATTTACTACTTCAATGTATTCAACACCGATTCTTCCTTTCGAACACATTAATGCTGATTTATCAGTTCAATTCCGTCATTTTCTCTGAAACATTAGAAACGATTGAGTCAATTTCGCGTAAGTCTATACAGGTCATTAAACACGTATTTACGACACATGCTGTTTTTGCTGATCACGGGGAACATTCGCATTAAAACTCTTGATAATGATTATTATGGCAGATTAGACATTCATGACCGTGTGTGTGTACGTGCGTGCATGCGTGCGCGCTCGCGTGCGTGCGTGCGTGCGTGCGTGCGTGTGTGAGTGCTTATAAACAGGGTGGCATTATAACCATGGACGACAGAATAGAGTATGGCCAGTCTATTGTGTCTAATTCTAGGTCAGAAAATCAACAGTGTTGTATTTTGTCTAATATACATGTATTCCCTTTGGGTCAGATAACCAACAGTTTAATTGTTTGACTTGTTTGTTCTCTTTGGTTGAGAAAATCGATAGTGTGATATTTCGTCTAATTCCTTCTCTTTTGGTCAGATAATCGACAATGATATTTTGGCTTGTTAATTCCCTTGAGGACCAGATAATCAACAGTGTGACGTTTCATCTAATCATGTTTCTTTCCTTCCGGTAACCAACAGTGTGGTAATTTGGCTAGTTAATTCCTCGGGTCAACAACAGTTTCTGTTCACGTCGCTACATATATCGAAACAATCGTTATTCTTGCGTGATTTCGTTGTCTGCTATTGACCAGCGGTATCCATTTGGTTACCTCACATCGATTATAAAAGCTGGTGTTTAGGAATCATTAATTGTTCTACCCTGGGTATTTTACTGCGAACACGGCATGATACGGAATACTCAAAACAATTATTACTAAATGTTCACGTCAATTATAAACATAAACCGAGGAGCAAAATTAAAGAAAGTCTCCCGAGTTTGTTTTAATGTAATTGAAAATTTAAAGAATTGTTGTTAAATTTGATGATGTCGACTTAACCATCCCTTTTCCCACAACAGTTTGTAAAAATTAATCTGTGGCTGGGTAACTTTGTATAAATGTAAATTGGTTCAATGAAGAATAGGGTAAGAAATGAATTTGCAACCACCTGACCCCTATCCTGTGTGGAATTCGAATGTGTGCCGAAGAAAGCACATTTATGGGTTTTCAAAGATATTATGTCTAGGATACCCATCAGCAATTGTGTAAAAACAATTTTAAGTTTTCAAGTTTTCAAACAAATCATATATTAAAAAATAAAACAATGTAGAAGTATTCTTTGAGTGATGACTTATCGCCAGTACAGTTCAGGTTTTAGATATAATATTTCTAACTTAAGATATATCATTTGAAATGCAAACATATGATAAAATCAATTGAGAGGCATAGTTTCATTGGCTCCGCTGTTTACATGTATATGTTAACGTCACTACATCTATCGAAATTATCGATAGTCTATGGCATCGATATGGCATAATATTTATTTATTTAAGTAGACCTAATCGCATTTACGCAACGTCACGGAAGTTTCAAATGTCCTGGGTATGTATATGTATATATGGTGATATAGTGCACTGTACTCCTGATTGAATCGAATCTGGCCGTATAGTGCAGTGTACTCCTGTACGGTCTTCGTTTACCCATTAACCGATAAACCAACGCACACAAAGAATACATACTCAATATACTTAATATGCCACGTACTCGCATGTAAGCTGATGCGTTATCCTATCCTAGAAACACCCCTGACCAGAAACACGTCACAAGTCTAACTGCGACATGCAGTGGCACACATGCTCTGTCTCATGTACAACAAGTACCTGTCATATGTCCATTATGACTGATCAGGCGCACTGTTCACACTGCCATTGAGGTGATGTCTTTAGCCTGCACACTGAAATGCACTGGTGGTCGTCTTAATGGCTAGAGGGTGCACCGTGGAGTGTTGCCAACCGAACACCTAAAAACTGTAATAAAATGTTATGTTTAAGAATCATTGATCGATCTATCCAGAATATTTGACGATGTACATGTCAAAAAAATAATACGTAAAAATTATTACTTATCTTAATGACAAATGTATATCATTCAGTAATTACTTTTCGTTTTAAGAAGCAGTAACATTTTTCAATTTTCCCACAATAGCATATGAGGGATGAAATAATTTCATTCACCTGGGAAACAGATGCTTAATGTCACTTGATTTATAAATGGTGATAAAAGATTTATGAAACAACAGTTGGTAAGAACGATTGAAATGGAAATATATATATATTCTTTTTACATCTTTCTTATGAACATTTCAAACAAGAAATAATTTTCATAATTAACATTATACATTTGAACAGTCACTTAAATGACTAATATATCAAATAAGCAGAATTCAATCCACATGTGCATTACTGTAAACAATACTGTTCTCACACCTTAACGTGATAGCAAACCAACACACTCGTGACTTAACAGATAAACCTTCTAGTTAAACTGCCTTTTAAAACATGACATTTGATAGTTCACTGCTAGTTACCTCTCTGTTAATACCATTGCCACGACGAGGAATCAGAAGACTGTCGCGATGAGTTCTGTAAGCTCCAGCTTTGTTATACATGTCTGCTCAGTCTGATCATGAGCTCCTTCATCATCGATCATTGACTGGCTGCCAGCTTATTGAAAACGATCTGGAATAACGTCTCTATCGGTACCATGGCAGCTTTGCACGAAGATTACGGAAACGTTTTACTTGCCGACATTGAATTTCCAGGGATGTTTAAAAGGAAAGTGTTTCTGTTAAGGCTCAGATCCCTCTGTAAAGAACTGTATTGATAGAAGTATGTGGCGTTCGGTTTAAGAGCTAGTGTGGGTTAAGTGGTCGGTATCACATTTGTCTGCATCATCTTTATCTAGTAATTATATATACTATTTGTACAAACTGGAGTCTCGTAGCGAAGTTCAGCCTTGAAACATTCAGGTCCCGAAAGAGTCAATGAATGGTTTGAACTTTCACATTTAACAGTTCCAAAAACGTTTGTTCTACCCAAAAGAGTTATTGGGGCTCACTTGCGTGTTTATGCCCAGTGATCTTAAGATTAAATACCGTCGTTAAGTTCCAACGGTTATAAACTTTCAGTAAATGGAACTTTGGCAGTCTTTGACAGTATTTCATTTTGTTCAATGTGAAGAGTAAATTCTCCTTCGAACACATTACGCTGTGCGAATTCATATAACTAACAGTATTAGTGTGATAAGTTCAACTATCGATACATTGTTAAAGACAAATCCTTGATGCCGTCAAGAAAATCGACTATGTGGTGGTGTAGGGGTATGGGTAGGTGTTGGAGACAGGATATAATTTTATTCAATACTAAATGCGTCAAAACACGCAATCCATATCTGTGAAAGGTGGAGCTGAATACATATTTTTCAAAACACCCCATACAGACGTTTACCATGCATGATCAGGCCGAATCTGAATAACATATATGATCAATAATAAATAATAACAAAAGCGACCATATTCATAAGAAATCTCTGCCAAAAGCAGTATCGATTGTACGATTCCAACTATATCATGAGCACGTGTTCATGATTCACTATCAAGTAGCTTATAGTGATCATAATGATGTCATGTGTTCGCGAAAAGGTGAGCGTATCCTTCCCCACCGTATTCATGATTCACTATCCATTAGTGATAATGATGATGCCATGTGTTCGCGAAAAGGTGAGCGTATATATCCTTCCCCTGGGTGGCAATAGAAGGCATACTTAGAGAATACCCTGTATGGAATTATGGATTATCCCCCGACATGGGTACAATGTGTGAAGCCCATTTCTGGTGTCACCCGCCGTGATTTTGCTGGAATATTGCTAAAAGCGGCGTAAAACCAAACTCACTCACTATGGATTATCCGCGCAGAATGAACTGAGAGGTTTTGAAAATAAATTCACTGCAATCCGTGCCCAAATGGTTAATTTTAAAATAATGATGTTTTTTCGCAATAAACAATATAAAGAATATCAGATTGCATGGTAATGTCGAAGAAACCACTCCATGGATACAATACATCCAACTGGAAACGAGTTTGTTCTTGGAAACTTATAATTCTGATATTGATGGATTTGTAGCCCTCCGTAGTCTTATATGTGATATTTCCTTCACGACGAAGTCTAAATTCTCGACCAATTCTATTGACAATAATCTTTCACTGCCGCCTATATATCCCATGGCGTCCCGCTGGCCAATCCTGCAACTTCCCCTAAAAAGCAAACAATCGACTCCAGACCGATGTGGCATTTCATCAATATTGATGCTGTTGGTTTTCAATGAAGACCCATTGGAGCCAGCTACCAAATATTCGGATTTCATTCAAAGAATTAGTGGGTCATGACTTTGTTAGATTCAACTCATTAAATGTTGAATAGACTATTGCAGAACAAAATATGGTGCCACATTACCCAATGCCATACATTGGTTAACATTGTCGTGTCTCTCGAGATCATTAAGACACCGAATTAGCACTTCCGAAAGCTTCCTATTTCATGTCTGTTTGAGAATAATGTGTGAAGCACTGTGGTTTATAAAGTAATTTCAACAACATTCACCTCAAGCCATGACACAACTTACATTAGTCTTCCCATTCAACTGATTTCACATTTAAGCCAACGAGGTTGCCTCCTATGTTAATTGTCACTCGACCAAACACACTGACATGTCAACAACAAATAAACACGGAAAACCTAAAGTTGGCATGTTAAAAAATACAAATGCTAATTTTCAACGTTACATGCCGAATAAATATCAATATTCATAAATACGGTTTCGTAAGCCATGATAGCTATTTTGAGATCATTGCTTCTGTTGGCCTTTAACAGAAACGGACATTGTCCTACATGGGCGTACATGGACTTAGCCATGTTTTCTATTGGGACAGCCACACACGCAACAGGTTTCTTTGTTGAAACTTATTGTACATGATAATGGATATTCATGTGGGTATATCAAGATATGTCGGTATATCAAGATCAAGCGCGCTGAAACCGTTGCCATGCCCATTTCATTCCTCTACTCTCTCGTGGCAGATGCCATCGGTATTGGCAATGTGACGTGTGGTGAGTCGTCGATTATCATACTCATGTATCGTGTCAACATTGTTCTAAGTTGTGGCAGTTGAAGGTCTTCCAGATCTTGAATCATCGTCCAGGCTCTCTCTCTTTCCCTCTTGAACTCTTCTGCCCACCCCTCAACAGTGGCAAAGGACGGAGCATCATCAGGAGTGGAAACAATGTCCGCATGGACGGCTGTTAGCTCTTTCAATTGGAGATACTTGATGGCAGTGCGGAAGCTAAATGAATGTTGTCAATTTCCATCAACAGTGAATACCTAGTCATTCTAATGCCTGCATAGATATGCTGGCTGGTTGTGTATGTGATTCAACTGCAGCCCTCAGGCATGGGAAGTATTGTACTTAATACAATCCTTCGCTTGGATGAAGTCAGCTGGCCTGAAAAGTGAAACAGAAAACTTTCTGTTTGCTGCCCAGGCCCAGTAACTTCCCACTCGAAATCGTCAATGTGTGATTTTGCATCAAAATTTGAACATGATATGTAGAATGTGTAATGAATTTAATGATACTATCCAACACATTGGCAGTGGATGCCCAGCTTTAAAACAAACACAGTATCCAAATGATGGAATGGCTCGATGCTTTCATTACCGTATTCGCCATGCTTGTGGTTTTGGCACAGAGGTCCACCCATGGTATGACCCGGAATATGTAGAGGGCGTCATGGAAAATGATCAATACAAAATCCTTTGAAATAGGCCCATTTACAGCCTCAGACGTATCCAGGCCAACAAACCTGATGTTGTCCTTTTTTATAAATCCAATGAAATCATTTGTATCATTGGATTTTCTGTCCCCTTTGACACTAATGTGATTGACAAGTTTGAGGAAAAACATGGCAAATATGCGGACTTCACTTTCGAAAGGTCACGCTTGCATCCCAAGTACCAAGTTGTCCGACTCCCCTTTGTTATCGGTGCCGTAGGTTTGGTACCTCCCAATCTGTTGACTGACATTGGGAGAGTACCCGGGTTTGCTACCAGGAATACAGCCCTCATGACAATCTGGGTAATGCAGAAGGCTGCAGTGTTGGGGAGTCTTCACATTCTCCAAAAAGTTCTGGGTGGGTTTGAGTAGGCAGCGCTTCCTGGGAGAAGTCCCATTCGCTGTCTGGGCTGCGTGTAGAGGGGGCAAGGGCCCTGAGCTGATGATGAGCCTAACCGGCCTGACTGTGCCAGGATCACCCAAACCCTCTTTGCTGCATTTTTTATTTTAATCTGTAAATAATAATAATAATAATTTAATGAGACTGTCCAACACGTTGTTAGTGGATGCCCAACTTTGGCATGGACACAGTATCTTAAGCGACATGATGAAGTGGCTCGATCATTTTATTACCGTCTTTGCCATGCTTGTGGTTTTGGCACAGAGGTCCACCCATGGTATGACCCGGAATATGTAAAGGGCGTCATGGAAAATGATAAATACAAAATCCTTTGGAATAGGCCCGTATACAGCCTCAGACATATTCAGGCCAACAAACCTGATCTTGTCCTTTTTGATAAATCCAATGAAATCATTCATATCATTGAATTTTCTGTCCCTTTTGACAGTTATGTGATTGACAAGATTGAGGAAAAACATGGCAAATATGCAGAGCTCGCTTTCGAAAGGTCACGCTTGCATCCCAAGTACCAAGTTGTCCGACTCCCCATTGTTCTCGGTGCCTTAGGTTTGGTACCTCCCAATCTGTTGACTGACATCGGGAGAGTTCCCGGGTTTGCTACCAGGAATACAGCCCTTATGACAATCTGGGTAATGCAGAAGGCTGCAGTTTTGGGGAGTATTCACATTCTCCGAAAAGTTCTGGGTGGGTTTGACAAGGCAGAGCTTCCCGGGAGTAAGTTTTTTATAAATATAAATTTTAAACAAAGGCGCATGGACAATTGTACCATTCCCTTTTGCTCCTGTATTGTCACGTATTATTCTTTATCAGTAAAAGTACATGTATTCCGATTACAAATAAACATCACCATTAATGCTTATTTCTTTAAGTAGATCTTATTGCATTTATGCAACGTCGAGAATGTTTCAAATGACATGGGTATGTATTAATATGATCATGCAATGAAAGGAAAACGATTCAAGACTGCATGTCCAATTTACTACTTCAACGTATTCAACAACGATTCCTCTTTTCGGAACACATTCGAAACGTTTCCATCTATTTCGCGCTAGTCTATACAAGTCATTATACACGTCGACCGCTGTTTAATCTGAAGTGGCATAGCGTGTAGGTCGATACAAACCGTGCGTGCGTGGGTGCGTGCGTGCGTGCGTGCGTGTGTGAGTGCTTATAAACAGGGTGGCATTATAACCAGGGATAGCATATAGTATGGCCAGTTAATTTAGTATTTTGTCTAATTCTAGGTCAGAAAATCAACAGTGTTGTATTTTGTCTTATTTATTCCCTTTGGGTCAGATAACCAACAGGGTAATTGTTTGACTTGTTTGTTCTCTTTGGTTGAGAAAATCGATGGTGTGATATTCCTTCTCTTTTCGTCAGATAATCGACAATGATATCTTATCTGGTTAATTCCCTTTGGGACCAGATAATCAACAGTGTGACGTTTCATCTAATCATGTTTCTTTCCTTCCGGTAACCAACAGTGTGGTAATTTGGCTAGTTAATTCCTCGGGTCAACAATAGTTTCTGTTCACGTCGCTACATATATCGAAACAATCGTTATTCTTACGTGATTTCGTTGTCTGCTATTGATCAGCGGTATCCATTTGGTTACCTCACATCGATTATAAAAGCTGGTGTTTAGGAATCATCAATTGTTCTACCCTGGGTATTTTACTGCGAACACGGCATGATACGGAGTAGTCAACATAATTGTTACTAAATGTTCACGTCAATTATAAACATAAACCGAGGGGCAAAAGAAAGTACACCGAGTTTGTTTTTAATGTAATTGAAAATTGAAAGAACTGTTGTTAAATTTTATTATATCTACATACACGTAACCATCACTCGTTCCTACAATAGTTTGTAAAAAGTAATCTGTGGCTGGGTAATTTTGTATAAATATAAATTGGTTCAATGAAGAACAGGGTAAGAAATGAATTTGCAACCACCTGACCCCTATCCTGTGTGGAATGTGGAAAATCCTTCGAACATAGATAGTTACTTCCATGTAAACTGAAGGTACACATTTTAGCCTCGGGGAATGGTTGTGCGCCACTTTTAGCAATATTCCAGTCATACATGACGGAAGACAACAAAAATAGTGCAGTGTACTCCTGTACGGTTTTCGTTTACCCATTAACCGATAAACCAACGCACACAAAGAATACATACTCAATATACTTAATATGCCACGTACTCACATGTAAGCTGATGCGTTATCCTATCCTAGAAACACCGCTGACCAGAAACACGGCACAAGTCTAACTGCGACATGCAGTGGTACACATGCTCTGTCTCATGTACAGCAAGTACCTGTCATATGTCCATTATGACTGATCAGGCGCACTGTTCACACTGCCATTGAGGCGATGTCTTTAGCCTGCACACTGAAGTGCACTGGTGGGCGTCTCAATGGCTTGAGGATGCACCGTGGAGTGTTGCCAACCGAACACCTAAAAACTGTAATAAAATGTTATGTTTAAGAATCATTGATCGATCTATCCAGAATATTTGACGATATACATGTCAAAATAATAATACTTAAAAATTATTACTTATCTTAATGACAAATGTATGTTATTCAATAAATACTTTTCATTTTTAAAAGCAATGACATATTTCAATTTTCCCACAAAAGCATATGAGGGATGAAATAATTTCATTCACCTGGGAAAGAAAGATGGAAAAGGAAATCTAATATATATATATATAACCTTCTAGTGATAAACCTTCTAGTTAAACTGCCTTTAAAAACATGACATTTGATAGTTTACTCCCAGTAACCTCTCAGTAAATACCATTGCCACGTCGAGGAATCAGAAGACTGTCACGATGAGTTCTGTAAGCTACAGCTTTGTTATACATGTCTGCTCAGTCTGATCATGAGCTCCTTCACTATTTGTACAAACTGGAGTCTCGTAGCGAAGAGTCGATGAATGGTATGAACTTTCACAGTTAACAGTTCCAAAAACGTTCGTTCTACCCAAAGCGTAATTTAGGAATACGTGTGTGTTTTTGCACAGTGATCTTAAGATTAAATATCGTCGTTAAGTTCCAGTTCCGTCGTTGTAAACTTTCGGTAAATGGAACTTTGGCAGTCTTTTGCAGTATTCCATTTTGTTCTGTGTAAAAAAGAAATTCTCCCTCGAACACATTCCGCTGTGTGAATTCATATAACTAACAGGATTAGTGTGATGAGTTCAACTATCAACCCATTCCTCAATCATTGATGCCGTCCAGAAAATCAACAATGTGCCATTTCATTTAAACACTTCTCAATTTTCTTAAACCATGTACAGCTAGGAGATATGTTTTAATCCAAGAGATGGCACCTAAAAGGTGTTTAAGAAAACAAGATCTAGAACAGCTCTCCAAGTGCCACAGTTGATTATAGATTATAATTTACAAAACAGTAAAATAGTCGTACTGGTATATAGAGAAGACGTCCAGAGTGAATGAAAATGCAAATAACAATCCGTTGCCCACAAATACAAATACAGCCCACATATATCCTATCTCAATGATAACGTTGATTTTAGTACACATGAAACTACACCAACGCTGTTTATATAACCCCCGTGAACGAACATATTTTACCTTTGGTTTTGCTGTATGTTGTTTCAGGACCGATAATTTAATATTCACGGGAGTGGGGATCGGGGAGGTGTGGTTCGTGTTCGAGACAGGATATATTTTCAGTCAATACTTAATGCGTCAAAACACGCAATCCATTTCTGTGAAAGGTGGAGCTGAATACATATTTTTCAAAACATCCTATACTGGTGATGCAAGTCTTAGACGTTTACCATGCCTGATCAGGCCGAATCTGGATAACATTTATCATCAATAATTAATAATAACAAAAGCGACCATATTCATAAGAATCTTTCCGAAAGCAGAGTCGATTGTACGATCCCTACTTTATCATGAGCATGTGTTCATGAATCACTATCAAGTAGTGATCATGATAATGCCATGTGTTCGCGAAAAGGTGAGCGTATCCTTCCTCTGGGTGGCAATAGAAAGCACACTTAGAGAATACCTTGCATGGAATTATGGATCATCCGTGCAGAATGTACTGAGAGGTTTTGAAAATATATTCATTGCAATCCGTGCCCAAATGGTTAATATAATGACGTTTTTTCGCAATAAACAATATATAGAAGATTAGTTACAAGGTAATGTCGATGAAACCAGTCCATGGACACAATACAGCCAACTGAAAACGAGTTGTTCTTGGAAACTAATAATTCGGATACTGATGGATGTGTAGCCCTCGGTAGTCTAATAAGTGATATTTCCTTCACGACAAAGTCTATTCTATGGACAATCTCTTACTGTCGCCTACATATCCCATGACATCCCCTGGCCAATCCTGCAACTTCCCCTAAAAAGCAAACAATCGACTTCAGGCTGAGGTGGCATTTCATCAATATTGATGCTGCCAAATATTCGGATTTTATTCAAAGAATAAGGGGGTCATGACACACACTTTGTTAGATTCATTTAATTAAATCTTTAAGAGACTATTGCGGAACAAAATATGGTGCCACATTAACCAATACCAGATATTGGTTAACATTGTCTTGCTCTCGAAATTGTTTAGACACTGAATCAGCACTTCTGAAAGCTTCCTATTTCATGTCTGTTGGAGAATAATGTGTGAAGCACTGAGGTTTAGAAAGTAATTTCAACAACATTAACCTCAAGTGAGCCATGACACAATTTACATGAGTCTTCCCATTCAACTGATTGCTTGTTTCACATTAAGCCCACGAGGTTGCCTTCCATGTTAATTGTCACTCGACCAAACACATTTACATATCAACAACACATCAACAAACACGAAAAACCTCAAATTTGCCATGTTTAAAGAAAGCAAATGCTAATTTTCAACGTGTTACGCAGAATAAATATCATTATTCAAACCACGTTTTCGTGAACCATGATATATCTTTTCTTGAATTAAGTCGGAGCTCTAACTTTCAAGATAATTGTTTCTGTTGACCCTCAACATGGGCGTACGTGGACTTAACCATGCGTTCTATTTGGATATCGTCACGCGCAGCAGGTTCCTTTGTTGTAACCTATCGTAGATGATAATGGATATTCGTGTGGGTGTATCAAGATTTGTCCGAAGAAAGGAACATACTTGAAAGCATAACACTAGTTTATAGTAAGTGAGTTGGGCTCAACGTCGCTTTGAACAGTAACGGCGTGTTAGCTTCATGTTGGAGCGACTTCTACCTTCATGTCCCCACATGTAAATAAAAGCATAAGAAACCTTGTCGATTGTACGATTCCGACTATGTCATGTGTTTATGAATCGTTGTCAGAAAGTTATGATACCAGGTGTTCGCGAACAGGTGATCGTATGCTGCCCCACCGGTGGCACCCATCACAAACACATGCAAAGGCAAGTCAATACATTGTTCACCTGGTACAATTCGAAATAGCACCCCACATTTTGTGTACAATATTGCCTAGTACGACATTTTTCCCACATGTTTTTTTCTATATCGCCGAGACATTTTGATAGAGCCAATAAACCGTTTGAGGCATGTTAACAGTTCATTTACTCACTGTATGTAAAATAATGATGAGTGAGTATAGTTTAATGCTTTTTTGGCAGTTTTTCATTTATAGCACTGGTGTCAGCTTGGTGTGTGGAAAAAGCCCGGGTGATGCAGGTCTTACCCCTTTGGTGAAACCAACAAGCACGGATTGATGCTGAAAACCTAGAAGCAGAATCAGCGAGAATCTAAGATTAGAACCCATGATCTGGTACATCCAAGCGTGGCAAATCTGCACAACGAAGTGCGGCTACAAAGAATACTGGGCCACCCCTGCTGCCACCAAGATCACGTTCACGAATCACTTTAAATCTTAAAGCGATAACACCAGGTGTTGACCCTAGTTAATTTGACTCTCAGCAAGACTTTCGTTTGGATATGTTCGACCACCCTTTTTATCTGTCATATAACTTAATAATCCCTTGTCTTTTTGGTAAAATAAAACGCCTCATTTCATATTAAGAGTGACGCTGGCCTTCCTTTTTTTGTGGAAACACTATCCAGCTATATTGAGAGTGGCACTCGCTATGACACTTGTCACGTTTATGGACATATGAACCACTTCAAGACATTTAAGCGATATCTTTAAGTGGCATTTTAAAGAAGCATGATCAATGACGAAGTGTATTATCAAAGTGGGAAATATGTTTTATTTTACTTGGGCGGAATGTTATATTTACCGAAACGCCAAAAGTTAAGTTTGTCTGGGAAAAAAATCAAAACGAAGATCTTTTATGACCAGTGTCTCTGTGATTCGTATGTGTCTTTGTATTTCATTTACCTGTACACAAGTATGCCGCTTAGTATATTTAGAACTAGACCAAAGTGTTACACGTTGGTCCTAAACTAACGGTGGGCAACGTTCTAAGTGATTTGGTAACGGGCATCGCTTTAAAGACAAGGATTATATCTGGCCCCTTAACAAAGTATATCTTTTACACAGAAACATGGTGAGCTGAAATGGGATTTAACGTCGCGTCCAAATTAACGACTCATATAGCGATGCGCATGAACGTGTGTGTGTGGTGCAGTGGAAGAGCGTCCGCCCGGAGAGCGGAAAGTCCGGGTTCGATCCCCTGCCGCGTCAAAAAGACGTTAAAAGATGGTATTTGATGGTACCCTGTCTGGCGTTCGGCATTAAGGGGATAACACAAGGACTGGTCGGCTCGGAGTCAGTATACTGTGTCTGAGTGGGGTATTCATGCTAAACTGCGGCATGGTATCTCAGTGGGCTAGTACTATAAAATCGGCTTCAGTCCGGACTAGTATAAGCAGCCACGTACATGCACGTCGCAATAAAAGAGCAATAATCTGAAACCTCAATTTCACCGCTTCACCTGATACAGAAAATATCTGAAACAGTTTTAAACAGCTTTAGACACTTAAAATGACGAATGACAAGGGCCCTCTTTCGACGATATGGATCTGCATAATTTATCGCCTTTAGCACAATTTCACCTGTCCATCATGTGAATTCAATCTAATAATGAAGATTCGACGTACCCAGTGACCGAAACCTCGTATACTAGTATATTATGAGGCTGTCACGAAGGAGACCCAAACAACTACAGTACGTTTAGTTACATTAAGAACACACGCATTACCTTACTGTCTGTACTGTAATTTACAACTAGTGGGATTATTCTGGACGACAGGTATGTCAGATTGAAACCTCGGAAGTTAAGCCTCAGACGCTTAGTCGCACAATACAAAGGCTTCACTAGGCTAGGTTTCGGTACGATTATCAATACATAATGATTGTATATTTATCAGTTTATATTAATTCGGTTAGACAGTGAGTTACTTGTGTGAGGTGGACACGGAATGAGGGCTGGGATAATTTTATGTTGATTCAGCAATAGGCTGATTTAACATGGCGACATGATA